TGATGTTTCTATCTCTCTCTCCCTCTCCTTTCCTCTCTGAAATCAATAAAAATATAATTAAATTTTTAAAAATGAGAACATACAGAAGTAATCAAAGAACACAAGACACTTGTTCCCCGACATCATTATCATCTCCTGGCAAAGGCAGAGGGAAAAAGCTAGGATGTCCCTGGGGGCTGGGACTCTGATGGGAGCCCCTCACAACAGCCACAGAGACAACAAAAACAACCAGGAATTTCACCAAGTGGAATCATGACCAGATAGGAACTGATGGGCTTTCTGGGGAACTTTAAGCCACAAACTTTGCTCCAAATGCTCATGCACCAGAAATTAACCCAGCGGCCAGGCAGACAGAGGGAAAGCCAACAAGCACGTTCCTTTAAGGTCTGGGACCGTAGCGTGTCATTTACTTTTGTGCAGGTCCTGAGTAACCTGAGAAAATAACGGGTCAACCCCAGCATCAGAGATGGCACCTGCTCATTCTCCTGCCCTGGGGAGTGGCCTCAGGAAGATCACAGAGCTCTTGATTGTTGAAAGGAAAAAGGGTTATTACCAGTCCTGCTGCAGAGTTCCAAGCACCATGCGTAATTTCTACAGGACGTCACCAGGGGGCGCTGTGGAACTTCTCAGAGCTGCAAGGCCTGAAGCCAACTCACATGGTTCTCATTGAGTGGGCCCTGCGCCCATGCTCATGGTCTGGGTTAGAGGTGACAGCAGGTGCTTCCCCTCAAGGGACAGACTCAGAGCCCACAGCCTCCCCAGCCTCCTCCTCACAGTGAAGCTTCAAACTGGGCCCAGGACCCAGGACAGGAGGGTCCTGTGGGCTCACATTTGCATAATGACCAGCAAACACCCCCTGTGCCCAGGAGGCCGGGAGGAGATAAAGGGACACCCGAGACCAGCACCTGCAAGAGACCGAGGCACCTTGGAAAGTCTCCACCATGAGCTGGACTCCCCTCCTTCTCCTCCTCGCTCTCTGCCCAGGTTCAGGGCCATTTCAGAGACCAGCCCGTGGAGGGGCCCCTCGCCTTCTGTTCCTTATCCCTGACATGTGTCTGTTTTTATTTCAGGGTCCAGGTCTCAGGCTGTGGTGACTCAGGAGCCCGGAATGACCGTGTCCCCCGGAGGGACAGTCACTCTCACCTGTGGCTCCAGCACAGGGGCTGTCACCGATGGTCACTACCCGTACTGGATCCAGCAGAAGCCGGGCCAGGTCCCCAGGACACTCATTTATAACACAGACAAGAAACACTCCTGGACGCCGGCCCGGTTCTCAGGCTCCATTCAAGGGGGCAAAGCTGCCCTGACCCTCTCAGGGGCCCAGCCTGAGGACGAGGCCGAGTACTACTGCTGGCTATACTTCAGTGGTGCTCACCACAGTGAGCGACCCTGATGGGGAACCAGGACATAAACCTGAGCTTGGCTGAGTGTGGGTACAAACATGGTCCTGTGATACTGGCATCACGTAACAGACATCTGAGCTCTCAGGGGAGCTTAAACATTGACCATCCATAGAGAGAAGGTGAGGGGAAGGGTCTGAATTGATTCCATTCCTGTTTTAACCCTAAAGTGGAGGGAATAGAGATGAGCAACTAAGGCACAAAAAGCAGAATTCATTTATTTTATTTTATAGAAGAAACAATATCTGCTGGATCAGTACTAAGGACTAAGGTCAAACACATTTCTTCCAGATAAAAGCATCTCCAATGTTCATTGCCAGCTACGAGCAAAGGAAAGAAACCGTCCTCTCATATGTTACTGAAGTTGTTTTATTGTCATATAATGCATTTAATAACTATATTGCATATATTTAAAATACATTGAAAAGTATACATCCGTAGCCAGTTTTGCTCAGTGGATAGTCAGCCTGAGGACCAAAGGGTCCAGGTTTGATTCCAGTCAAGGGCACATACCTGGGTTGCAGGCTCCTCCCAGGACTGGACCCTGGTCGGGGCATATGCAGGAGTCAACCAATCAATGTGTTTCTCTCACATCAATAGTTCGCTCAGTCTTTCTCTCTCTCTTCCACTCTCTCTGAAAATCAATGGAAAAATATCCTCGGGTGAGGATGTAAAATAAAATAAAGTAAATAAAATAAAATAAAATGTATAAACATTTTAAAATGATTCTTCTTCCCTAATGTTCTTGGTTAAATTGTGTCTCCCACCCCCAAAAAAGATATGTTAAAGTTATACATATCTCAGGACCTACGAATGTCACCTTATTTGAAAACAGGGTCAGGGGAAAAAAAAGATAAGAACACAGGGTCGATGCCGATGTAATTAGTTATGATGAGGCCATCCTGGAGTGGGGTGGCCTCCTAATGCCATGTGGCTGGAGTCCTGATAGCAAGAAGCCCCATGAAGACACGGGGAGCACTCTGAGGAGATGGAGGCGGAGACTGGGTGATGCAGCTGCAAGCCAAGGAAGGCCCCAAATTGCTGGTGTGGCTCAGTGGTTGAACCTCGACCTATGAACCAGGAGGTCATGGTTCAATTCCTGGTCAAGGCACATGCCCGGGTTTCAGGCTCAATCCCTAATGTGGGGCGTGCAGGAGGCAGCTGATCAATGATTCTCTCTCATCATTGATATTTCTCTCTCTCTCTCTCTCTCTATCTCTTCCTCTCTGAAACAAAAATATATATATTTTTTAAAAAATAAAAGTTTGGTAGAATTCAGAAATAAAATAAGCTTGGCACGAAGTTTTCATTTCTGGACGGCGTTTTACCTACCAACTAAGTTTCCTTAATAACCATAGGACTATTATTTGGGTTATCAATTGTAAGTGAGTTTTGATCATTTTAATATTTACCATGGTTATGTAAGTTGTTAACATCAGGGGAGATTTGGTGAAGGATATGTGTACTATCTTTGCAACAGTTCTGTGCATCTAAAATCACTCCAAAATAAAAAGCTGAAATAAGCCTATCTCATTTCCTTCTCCTGAATTTACTAACACCTGTTGAACTAGATCCCAGGTCTGGCTGTACAACCTTCCACATTCAATCCTGGAGCGTTTGTATTTTCCTGGTAGTCGTCTCTCAATAAAAATATAAAAAATAATGCTCACCTTCTGCCTACTTTTCATTGGTACAATGAACCTCCACTGAAGCTTGACATTTAAAATATAGACCTTCAGATGGAAACCAGTTAAAGGCAAAGGCCCACGAGGAGGGCCTGCAAGAATTCCAAGTGCCAGCGTCCCCCGTCTCCTCCCAGTGGGGTAGGTCACGGACAATGCGAACGCCTCCTGGCAGCCATGTGCCACACTCTGCACGGAGTACTGCCCACCGGGAGAGTTCACCCAAGCTCGGCGTCCAGAGGTTTTTTGGGGGGACTTGGTCATGTTGACCATTCACACAGATGACTTTAGTCTCCACCCATTTGGCCGTAAAACATTTAACCCTCGGTCTTTGGTCTTTTTCTTTTAATTCTCTAAAGCAGTGGTCGGCAAACTGCGGCTCACGAGCCACATGCGGCTCTTTGGCCCCTTCAGTGTGGCTCTTCCACAAAATACCGACTTCTGCGCATGGGCCACGAAGTTACATGTGCGCCCGCACATGGTATTTTGTGGAAGAGCCACACTCGAGGGGCCAAAGAGCCGCATGTGGCTCGCGAGCCGCAGTTTGCCGACCACTGCTCTAAAGTAAATAATTCTGACTAAAACCAGCTGTCTATTCCATGTAAGGCTCAAAATAAAGAATGTCAACAGAGTCAGTTGGCCATGAAATCATTCCTGAGTCATGCAAAACACTCAGATAAGAAATGAAGGCCTTGTAACACTGACACTGACCCTGGGGTAGGATTTCAACAACAACCAGAGGAAGATGTACCAACAGGAATGAGCCAAGAAGAGACAAGCAATGGGTGCGGGATGGCCTGGGAAACAACAGCTGCGATGTTAACAAGTAAGTCAACAGTTATGTTCATAACTGAGAGGAGACCACACACTCTCAGCCCAAGAAGGCCACCAGGGGGCGCTATAAATCTTCTCAGCGGCCTTGAACTTCAAGTGGCTCCAATTCAATGGACCATGAAGGGTTGCTCACTGGCCTGTATAAGAGCTTAGAGCAGCTGTTTCCTCCCACAGGGTAGACGCACAACCTCCACCCACCCCTGGCTTACCCGCTGACTGTGTAGCTGCTCCCAGGGCTGAGGACCTGGGTGGTGGACGTCAGTGGTGACAGGCTCAGATTTGCATAAGGTGAGCCTCCAACACACCCCTTCACACAGCAGCTCAGTAGGAGATAAAGAGTCAGCAGAGAGGCCGCCCCAGCTCAGAGCCAGGGGGCCCTTCTAACGTCTGCACCATGGCCTGCACCCCTCTCCTCCTCCTCCTCTTCCTCACTCACTGCCCAGGTGAATACAGACCCCCATACCAGCCATTGGAGGGGTCCCTCTGCCTTTGTTCCTTATCCCTGACAGGTGTCTGCTTTTGGTTTCAGAGTCCAGGTCTCAGGCTGTGGTCACTCAGGAGCCCGAAATGACCGTGTCCTCGGGAGGGACAGTCACTCTCACCTGTGGCTCCAGCACAGGGGCCGTCACCGATGGCCACTATCCGTACTGGTTCCAGCAGACGCCTGGCCATACCCCCAGGACACTGATTTATAACACGAACAACAGACACTCCTGGACCCCGGCCCGGTTCTCAGGCTCCATCCGAGGGGGCAAAGCTGCCCTGACCCTCGCGGGGGCCCAGCCTGAGGACGAGGCTGTGTACCACTGCTGGCTGGTGTACAGTGGTGCTCGGCACAGTGAGAGACGCAGATGGGGAACCAGGACATAAACCTCCGCTGGGGCCTGTGACAGGGGATCACGTGATCAGACACACCAGCTCTCAAGTAGCCTAAATGTGGATCATCCATTAAAAAGTAAAGGGAAGGGTACCCAGCTGGCATGGCTCAGTGGTTGAGCATTGACCTAGGAACCAGGAGGTCAGGGTTCGAGTCCCGGTCAGGGCACATCCCTGGGTTGCGGGCTTGATCCCGTGTGGGGTGTGCAGGAGGCAGCCGATGAATGATTCTCTCTCATCACTGATGTTTCTATTCCTTTCCCCTTCTCCCATCCTCTCTGAAATCAATCAATCAATCAATAAATAAATAAATATTTTTAAAAGAAATGATGCTATATAATTAATCTTGCTTTTATTTCTTTTTACTTTTTAAAATCCTCACCCTGAGTGAGAAAATTTTTTCCATTGATTTTTAGAGAGAGTGGAATATTTTTAAAAGAAATGATGCTATATAATTAATCTTGTTTTTATTTCTTTTTAATTTTTTTAATCCTCACCCAATGAGAAAATTTTTTCCATTGATTTTTAGAGAGAGTGGAAAGGATGGGGGAGAGGAAGAGAGACAAACATCAATGTGTCAGAGACACATCAATTGGTTGCCTCCTATCCGCGCCCCAACCTGGGGTGGAGGATTGAACCTGCAACCAAGATACGAGCCCTTGACTGGGAATTGAACCCAAGACCCGTTGATCCATGGGCCAGTGCTCTAACCCCTGAGCCAAACTGCCCAGGGCTAATTAATCTTGTTTTTAATGAAATACTCCTGGAGAGAGAGAGACAAACATTGATGTGTCAGAGACACATCAATTGGTTGTCTCCTATCTGCGCCCCAACTGGGGGTGGAGGATTGAACCTGCAACCAAGGTACGAGCCCTTGACTGGGAATAGAACCCAAGATCCGTTGGTCCATGGGCCAATGCTCTAACCGCTGAGCCAAACTGGCCAGGGCTAATTAATCTTGTTTTTAATGAAATACTCCTGTTCCATGGTGTGGCTTTTGTGAAGTCAGGGGGAGATGCCTTCTGTTTTCATTAGGAAGCTTTTGTTTACATGTGGGCTAGTGTGACCCCTACTTAGGGCCTAGGACTCAAGTCAGGACAACTGCCTAAAGAATGCAGCCTCGTCCTCCCGAAGTTGTCCTTCAAAGGGCGCCCTTGTCAAATGAAGTTCACGATCCCAGCGGCAGCCTGCCCTGGAGAGAGAGTCTGTAACGAGCCAGGTCAGAACAGGGACCGAGTCCAGCTGGGTCCCACTCAGGGGACACCACAGATGCGGAGGTCTGTGCGTCCTTACGTTTTCCTGAACATGCGCTCTGTGCCAGGCTCGGGTTAGAGCTCAGAGCACAGCACTGACCGGACGGACGGGGTCCCATCCTCCCGGGGCTGACCCTACAGGGAAGTGAGGGACAACCGGCCCATGAGAATAAGGCACATGGTGGGGTGTGACAAGAGGTGACACTGACAAGAAAGGGGTGGACAACAGGAAGCCCTCAGAGGTTTTTAAGCAAGGAGGAGATAGAATCTGAGTTCCGCTTCTCCAAAAGATGAAATGGGAGGAGCAGAGTAAAGGCACAGCCACTGAGAGAACTAAAAACTCCAGAC